AAAGTGGAGGGGCCAGTGAAGGTGCAAAAGTAATCAAACATGCAGAGAACAACCGCTATGAAAGAACAGATGTGTCACAATTATAAAAGGAGGCATATCTGTGGGATCTAGCACTACTTCTGGAACACGTATGCTCTTCGCCCAGTAACGACCAAGGCAAGACACATAGGGCAGAACTTAATAAACAGGCACCATGTTGTAATCTGATATAAGAATACATGGCTAGGGCTAAAGGACCGTATGTGAATAGGTTAAGTGCAGTCCACCCAGACAGAAAACATCCAGGGGAAGTGCCTTGTGATTATGATAAGTGTGGTCCATCTGGACAAAAACAATAGTGGAAGTGCCTCACATAAGTTTATAAGATCAAAAAGTGCAGTCCACCTGGGCAAAAAACATCTAGGGGAAGTGCCTTGGATATATATATTATGATAGCCAAGTGTGGTCAGCCTGGGCAAAATATCTGGGGGAAGCACCTTGGTCTACATCAGATTATGTCCAGTGTGGTCCATGCAGACAGAAAACATCCAGTGGACGTGCCTTGCATAAGATTGTACTTTTCATATTTTGTTTGTAACTGAATTTGTGATCAACAAGTGCAGTCTGTCCACACAAAAACATCTGGGGTAAGCATCGTGCATATGATTGAACATTTTATATCTGTATCGTAATATAATTAGAAATCAACAAGTGCAGTCTGCCCACGCAAAAACATCTGAGGTAAGTACCTTGTGATATAATGTAGCATGACAAGTGCAACACAATTTTCCCGGGCAGACAATGTCCCAGGAAGGAAGGCCTGATCCTGATAGCAGATAACATATGAGGAATGGTAAATATCAGAACAACGATGACCGCATGCCAAGAGGGGGAGGAATTACGTCTTAAGAAAAAAACGATACAAGAAACAAACTGCAATGGGTTCAAAGGGAACCAAATGGGACATGAAGAATAACATTGAGATCCCAATCTAGCAGAACAAAGGAACATGGTGGATGGACCAGACGAAAGGAATTGAAAAGAAGGGAAATAACCAGATAAGAAAATGCTTTCCAGAAGTGGGAGAATGGAAGGTGTTTGACAGGGCAGCCCTATAAAGAATAACAGTTGACACAGACAAACCCTGATCAAAAACCAGATGAAGAACTGGGACAGGATGGTTGGAAGCCATGGTAAGTAGACAAAAGTAAGAAACAAGACCAATGCCTCTGGTACACAGACAAGATGGAAGGGCAAATGGTACAGGTAAGAGAAGACGTTACACAAGGAGTTAGTCCCTGAACCGAGGCATGGGACTGGACAAAAGTCACACTGAAAGATGGAGTATGATGACATTGGAATGAAAAATGTCATATCGTGAGAGATCAGAACAGAGAAAAGGGCTGGGTCCGTTGCTCCAGTAAGGGCCAGAGCAGAGGGAATCATGTCCAAGCCAGCCAATACAGAGCAACCAGCAGAACAAAGAGTGGTTAGGATAAGGGAAAAAGACCCAGAAGAGGAATCTGATTAGAGGGTAGGCATATAGGTGACGACCACTCCAATCTTGACTGAAAGCTTCCACCCCCAGAGCTGAAGGGTGAGGAACTGCAGACGAAATAGGAAGGAAGTTTGGCATTCCAATGAATGGGAAACACATACATTTATGTGGTGTTCCCGATTGAGAACACACATTGAGATATACCTGAGGATGAAGAGACCACTCTGTGGAGAACATGCTTGGGATATGATAAGAGATTGGCCACAAGATTCATAACTCCGTGAACATGACCTGCCAGAACCATCATGTCATGGTCATTGGTTTAGTACAGGAAATCCAGAGTCTGAAAAGACAGAGATCAGAACTTGGTTCCCCTCGCTTGGTGATAAAGCTGATGACAGTGGAATTGTTAGAATGAACTACAACCACCCTCCACTAAAGAAATGATACAGAGGTCAAAGGTTCCAGGATGTGGATATGGAGAGTAATCTCACTGACTGACCACTGACCCGAAATCACTGGGGAATTGAGGACCCCTCCCCAACCCACCAAGGAAGCAACTGTGAACAAATGAGACATGGGACAAGATGGCAGAATGGGTAGCCCCACCGTGTTCAAGTCCCTGTCGAGCCACCAAGCAAGGTTGGCCCTGATTCTAGGTGGAAGGGAAATGGTATGGTCCAAGGGATCATGGGAGAAGTTCCACTGGTCAAGAAGCATCCAATGAAGAGAATGCATGTGCACCTGACCCAAGGGAATGAGAGCTTCCAAGAAAGCCCACATCCCCAAAAGAGATAGAATCTCATGTGCAGAGAGAGAAGGAGAAGGTAGGTAGAAAAGGCTGAGACAGGAAGTGAACAGAACCCCAAATGAATAAGATACTGTGAGGGGGTAGTAAAGGACTTCTTGAACTTGATGAGAAACCCCACCCAAGCAGCTTCTCGAAGAAGGAATCAGGTGTGAGCGTTGGTTGGTTGGTGTTTTA